CTTCGTAATTTGTTGCATTAGTTCTGAAGAATAAATTGTTGACTTTTAAAATAATTAGAACAAGAAATATTAAATGTTAGGTAAGCATTATATAGTTGTAGTTATATTAGTATGAATCGAACACTTATTATATTTAATTAACAGTGCAGTATCACTTAAAGCATCATTGCATAAAGTAGAATTAGCATGCTTGTTGTGAATTAATGCTTAAGTTTATGGCATTGCATAATTAAAAATAACAGTCATTTGAACAAGGTGAAAAGAAAAAACAAAATATAAAACAAGTGTGACAATGAATCAATACATTACGAAAAATAGAAAACACGTGATAACATTAAGCAGTATAAAATATTGCAAATACACCTCATAGTATATATATATATATATATATATATATATATATATATATATATATATATATATATATATAGTGCGGTACACCGCACTATCCATATGAACAACAAATGAAGAACAAAAGGATATAATTTGTGAATCCTTTTACATTTTAATATACTTTAACTAAAAAAAGTGTATGAGTATGTTTATTAGAAACTCAATCACTATTATTTCTCCGAATAACACGTAAATCAATCGTAAACAAGATGAAAAGCGCCTGTAAATTACAAAGATGTCACTGTTTTCGTAACAACAATATTTTGAAATTAGAGTCGATTTAGTAGGTGAAACTTTATCACCCAAATATTATCACTAAGTACAAAGCTAAAGTTTATTTTGATGTTTGATCTTTGAAATTGTTTAATGGACCAATATTCGCAGTCATAATGTATTAAAATTGGTTACAAGTGGTGGACGCTACAATAATGCGAAATGAAAGGACGTAGAATCAATATTGTGATATATATATATTAGAGATGGGCCGAATGTGATTTGAACCGAATCCGAACTTCGGCCGAACTTCGGTTCATTTTCGCACGCTTTCTCGAGAGCGACGCGTCGTGACTTGTTTACGCATTTACTTCAAATACCCCGCCCGCACACCGCAGGAAACATATACCTACGAAAAAAAAACGTAACAAACTTCTGCCAGATAAGGCAGATCTTTGGTGTTTTTGCACCATAACCTGACTCTGGTAAATTTTAAATATGACTAGATAGACAAGAAAAGTTGGTTTAATATGATTGTTGAAAACAAATACCCTTTAATTGTAATAAAAAATACTTGAGGTTAATGAATGTTGAATCAAAAACATTATTTTTTTATTTGATTTACGGACTCCTATCCAGATGTTTACTAGGAGAATACAAAGTTTATTTCATTTTTGTAATATGGCTAATTATTAATTAGGCAGGGATTTCTAAGATTAATAACTAATTAACTAAGATTAAGGTTAAGAACTAAGATTAAGATTAATGATAAGATAGGAACTGATTTAATATAAGGTTTACATTTACAATGTTCCGAAATAAATAAATAAATAATTGACCATGAATGAGTAAAAATAATATCTTTTATTTTACAGTATCTAATGTTGTTATATAAGGTGCTTCTAAAATATATGCCACGGTTATTTGTACGGAGACTTGGCCAATCAGCTGACCGATTTCCATACAAAGTGCAATTTTTTTTGAGAATTGACTATGGGTTCCTTGGGGAAAGTGGTACAGTATCATGACTAGAACCACCAGTTGCAGCCATGGCATATTGTAGTTTAGAAGCACCTTATATTTCAGTTAAAATAAGTGCAAGTAGGTATTATTTTTCTTGTACCGAATTTCGGCCCATCTCTAATATATATATATATATATATATATATATATATATATATATTAGAGATGGGCCTCTAATATATATATAAATAAATAAATAATTGACCATGAATGAGTAAAAATAATATCTTTTATTTTACAGTATCTAATGTTGTTATATAAGGTGCTTCTAAAATATATGCCACGGTTATTTGTACGGAGACTTGGCCAATCAGCTGACCGATTTCCATACAAAGTGCAATTTTTTTTTGAGAATTGACTATGGGTTCCTTGGGGAAAGTGGTACAGTATCATGACTAGAACCACCAGTTGCAGCCATGGCATATTGTAGTTTAGAAGCACCTTATATTTCAGTTAAAATAAGTGCAAGTAGGTATTATTTTTCTTGTACCGAATTTCGGCCCATCTCTAATATATATATATATATATATATATATATATATATATATATATATATATATATATATATATATTGAGAATCTAAATTGAGAATTTAAACTATACGCGTGTGTGTGTTTGTGTGTATATAAAGAGGGCTACTTTTAATATCGCTCATTTTAATATCAAAAATTTAGGTTATCTTTATAGCAGTATTATATTTTCAATTCAAAATTAGTACTGCATTTGCGATAATAATAAAATGTATGTATATAGAGTACTCACTCATTTTCTTTCACTATTATTTCGTGACTTTCTTCATTAATAATAAATGCACTTTGTTCATTCATATTCAAAACACTTTATTTACAACACCGTGTCGAAGACTGCCGAAAAAAGAAACGACGTTAGACAATGCTCGGCCTTCAAGCCACACCTCCGTGCCCGTCGGAGTGGGGAACGTGAGGTTTTTTCGTTACGGCGGAATAAATTTCTGGATTCGGTCCCATAAAGGAAAGTAATATATCGTACATAGAGAGCCCACTCGTGGAATTCATTGAAAACCGCAAATGTCAATTGATGTGATAAATAGCGCCATCTATTATCGTCATCCATAAACTTAACATCTATAGCTATTGCTGGCTATAGGTACTATATAGGCAATAGTAGCTTTTCCTTCATCCTTACTTATTTACTTGTATTCAAGTTGATAAAGTTTTACTTGATTTTATTTTTCTCTTTAACAAAATCTTAGTAACACTTTATCAAATTAAAAACAAGCCAATTAGTAAGGACGCATCAATTTCAAAAGGTTATTGGATAAACAAAAAAAAACAACTTTTATTTTACAATATTATTTATTTATTTACCTTGTGTTTATTTTTATAAGCTTGGGCTGCTGCTTTAGTTTCATCCTCACCATGGTATTTGATTTTACCAGACAAAATCCGGTTTATTGAACGGCACCAACTATATATAAGCACATGAATAATTGTGTTTTCAAAATAATTTCGTAATATTTTTTGATATTTTTCACAACTAAATGGAAAGTCAACAAATATGTCGGTAAACATTTTTATTTTACTTTTTAAGCCCATTTTTGGAACATCTTTTTTTAGTATGTCTGTCACTAAATTTTGAATTTGGACAAAACATTTTTTCATTCCTTCAGATGGGTATATTAAAGAATGTTTGCCTTTTTTATATTCTTTTGCCCGTATATAATCATTGGATTTGCTTTCAGGTCTGCCATACATATCTTTTTTTACATACTTTGTAGCTTTTTTAAAAATTTTTTATGCATTTCCCAAGGACCCACCCACACACATAATTGCCCTGACCAGCATCATTTATACTGGTATTTAAATTGATGAAAGGCACTACAATTTCGTCTTCTATGCTTTCAGAAAATTGTGGTGTTTCCTCATAAATGGGACTAGGAATATCAGAAGTTGACGCGATATTTTCTCTTACAAAAAAATCTAGATTCTGCAAGCAGCTATCATCGTCTTTTTCGCAGTTTGCATGCAGAGAATGGGGCGAGTAAAAATTATTAATTAAAAGGGACTTAAAGGCCCCTTCAAACGCAACCGTGTCTGGTGCAGTATTTCTCGCCCCATAACTTCTGATATTCCCAAAGAAATTCTCTAGTGGGTCCTGGTTGAAATTACGTGTTAGCATAGCATCAAATGAATATGTTTGGGACAGCAATATTCGTAATTCTTGCATTCCTTTAATTGTACGTATGAAGTTTTTTATAGATGGTATAGCTTTCGTTTCAATCAAACGGATTTTGTTATTTTTGTCCTTAATTTTTTTTTAATAAATGTTACAGTTTTCAAAACTTTTATGGCACTCTTCCACAAACCATGGTGTGGACTAGATTGTCTAACACATCCTTTATATATTTTGCCATCAGGCACATGAAATGTGTTAGAATTTAAGGAATCAAAAAGATTGTCTATTAATTTTGTAGATTTTACCACATTTTGGCATTCTACCGGAATGTCTCCTCTTGCCACCAGATGTCCTGCAGTCGCAGCTACCGTGTGACTGAAAATTTGGGCTGCTGTTTTCACTTTCATTTTTCTAATTTTATCGACATATGACCTTTAACCCAGTACTATATACATACTTAATAACTTTTTGTAATATTTCTCTTAATTGAGGTTTATTCACTGAGTTTCAATTTCAAGCAATTGAGCAATTTTCTTGCCATCAAATGTGAACCCTCTAAGCTGGTCTTTAGCAGCGTTATAATGGATTTGAGGGGATATTGACATTTCATCGAAAATTAAGCTGCATAAGCGGTCTTCTGTACATAGCTCCTTGACGGTATTTTTAATTTTCATAAATATGCATTTATTAAGGCCCGGCTTCACTTCTATTTTGGTCAAAAGTCTTTTTAATGATTTAGTTGAAGGCAATGTGAAATATTTTGCCAAAAGAGGGTAGCTTCTTGGACTCTTTTTATATAAAGAAAGCGAGAGCACTTTTTCTTCGAGAGAGAATCTGCGACCAGGAGGCCTCTTGCTCGTCTGGGTGTACTGCATTTTTGTGAAGATTTTTGCTGCTACGGTCATTTTGTTCGTCAGTTTTTTAAATAAAATATCTGTGGACATTTTTTTAGCATTGGCTATTCTGGATTGAAAGGTTTTGTTTTTCTTTTGTGATCTGATCAAGTTTGATTGCAAAACTTAAATTTTTCTTCTTGTTGTTTTAAGCTGGTTCAACCAGAATGACGGCCACTCCTGCTGCTGATAATTATCTGTAAAAAATTTGATTTGCATAATTTTTGGATACATGAATATGTGAACCCATTTTTTTAATAGGATAGGGAGACAAACGAGCACACAGTCCACCTGATGGTAAGTGGTTGTTGTGTCCAATAGACATCTACATCTATCCTCAACTACGAATCAAAATGCAGACGCATTGTTAGCTGTGAGGACTAAGATGTAATGTCTCATTACCAGTAAATAGGGTATCCGGTTCTCAACGCTCACCACACGAAACACAGCAGCAGTCAGTTACTATTTTACGCTGGTATTCTGTGAGAGTATGGACCTTCCCCGGTCGAGCTGAGCCATTCATGCTACAACTATACTCTAATATAACTGCAACATGACTCTACCACGTAAAGTAAATTTTTTGGCAATGGAAACAATAGACAATATTGTTGCCTTCCGAAGGAGCCTATTTTTATCTCAGAAAGACTAAAAGTTTGAGAGATATGATATTTTTTGTACACACGTAGATAATATGTCAAGAAAAAACAATATGGCTGTCACATAGAGGGGAAGAGGATTAGAACTGTGTGTAGTGTATGTGTGTATTAAAAATGTTGTAATATACGTATTAAGTAATAAGACAATAGAAGTCGCATAGACGCGTGACCTTGTCGCTGCTATGATGTGTTGACGAACATCATTCACCATTTTATGATTAAGTTGCGCGGGGAACGTCGTCCGTGAATTTATCTACACTAATATTATAAAGAGGAAAGATTTGTTTGTTTGTTTGTTTGAATTGAATAGGCTCTTAAACTACTGAACCGATTTGAAAAATTCTTTCACAATTAGAATCCTACATTATTCCTGATGAACATAGGCGATAGAACGTTTTCAAAAAATTTAGGAATCCGTATGAAAACTTCGTTAATGTAACCCAAGGTGTGAAAAATGTTTAATGAACACCGAGGAAGCAATGGCTGCATTTCAAAATGTCGTCGAAGAGACCGCTAAGGGCAAGTAAGCAAAGTGCTTTTCTCGGTGATTCCATTGGATGCAGCAATGTATTGATGTAAATAGACACCATTTTGGAAAGATATAATAAAACTAATAACTTGCTAGTTTGTTCAGTTTTTGATTTTCTAAGAACTTTCAGTATCACATTTTATGTTGCCCTATTGATATTTCAACTAATCTCACAGATTAAAAATAAAGATTATGTAAGTGTACTTAGTTAAGAAATCTCCTGAATGTAAAAATTGGTTTGTAATACATGAGTATACAAGTTCTTTATTACATAATTGTAATTCCATGGCTACTCCAATCCTCATTGATTTTGTTATTTATGCCATTTACAAAAATTTAATATTGCTATAACTATTTTGTAATGTTGCTATCACATTATTCTTTGATGTAGCTATTAATGAAAAATATTTTACACTTTGCTTGTATAATTACCTTGAAATGCATCAATTAAAGTAGTGCATGTAATGCAGTGTTATAATTTTTACTAATATGTTGGTTGCAATAGAATACTTTTGTAGATTAGATATATCATGTATTAAACTAAATGTGAGGGCATTTAAGACTGGTTTGTAAGTTAAGGCTATATTCATACTTATTTCTGTCAAATATTTCTAATGGCTTATGGCCATCAACCGGGAGAGGGAAAGGTATAATTTTAATAAGTACCTACGAATATAAACACAGATAACTGCAGTGGTCCATCTATAATGTAAATCTTATCCTGTTTATCTATCATTTAGGACAAGAATGTAAGCCACGGTGGTTCAGATGGTTAGCGCTCGCTGTAAACTTTACATTATGCAAGCAAATCAGGTTGGGTCCCTGCTGGCACCAATGAAATTGATAGTTGCAATTTTAAGTGTTGATTTACCACATGATCGGCGGTGAAGGAAAACATCCTGAGGAAAGTTGCATATCTGAGAAATAAGAAAAAAAATATTTCGGAGAAACGAGAAATTCGCTAACCTGCAACGGGGTAACACGGCGAACACTTCCTTGCCCTAAAACCATCTAAGAAACGGGGGTACCTGTGCCCAGCAGTGGGACGTATATAGGCTGCAACTTTATGTAAGTTGTAAGTTGAAGTTGACAAGGCACTGTGGAATTCTATGGAGGCAAGATGGCAGAGATATAATGATGATTATACTTACTGTTTGAACATCCCAATGCACACCGTTTAGGCATGATAAAACAAATCACAAGCGTCAATATCGCAAAGAAACAGCACAAACGAAGCGTCCGGGTCGCAAAAAAACGATTGCACTAGAATGACGGAGGAACAGTTCAACTTACACTATAACTTCGGAAAATTCTTACACTTCACTACGGAGGATAGGACTCAACTCAACGTGGATCGGCGGATTAATTTTACGAAGAAAAGCACAAAGATGGGACGAAAACTACAAACACGCGCAAATGCAAGGAGCAGTCGCCATATTTGTGATGACGTGACTATTTGACATTTGACAATCAATAAGAAGTCAGTGTTGCTATCGTAGTTATTACGCAGCTTGTAATCTACACAAATATTGACATATAATTATACTAAGTGTTAAATAAAATGATACGTAACGGAATTAATATTTTTTACATTATTTTTCAGTCATAAATTATATTTGCGTCGATCGTAACGCCATCTGCGGTGACATTAAAGTAACTCATTGTTTTGGATGGCGATAACAGATGTCGTATTTCGAAAAAATGACGTCAAATCTGTTAATATATGGAACTGTCCTACCCCTGTTCGGTCCCCACGCTCAAGGCCCGCGATAGAAGCTATGTAATAGCTTAATATTGAACTTTAAGCTATTTCAGAGTTCTGCAATTAAAAAAAAGACGTGTGGCACTCGGGGACTGCCGCGGTAAAGCTATTGCATAGCATTTTGTATCAACTTATGCAATTATAATTATTAATATAAGGACTACATAAATATTCAGTACAGCAAGATTGGAAGAAAAATGACGTCTAAATATTTTTTCGTATTTAGTAAACGAATAACTAGTTGGTAAATTAATCATGATATATATCTTTTTTTTTCGCCGGAGACTAAAATGATATTGCTTTTTTTCGTAACTACAGATTCTGTGGATTTATTTCATTATTTTGAACAATATACGAAATTTAAGTGACTAAAATTAAATCTAATCTGAACCAGAATCATAAAAACTGTATTATTCGTGCTAAACGAATCTAATAAATATCTGTTATTTTTGTCTCCTGCGAAAAAAACAGACTATAGGAATCTATCGAATACCTACATAAACAAAATATCACCTATAAATAAAATATTACAAAGCGGAATAACTAATAAGAGTGGCAACGTCGCACTATACAAAGGAATTGCGTAGGTGGCACAAGTCGCGGGCTCGAACTCAATGGTGGGCGCGGCCAAAAAGCACGTTGTCTCACCTGGCATCGTGCCACTCGTACTAAATTATTAGGCGCTGCGTTATCGCTTTATACTATACCTCTATGGCTCTATAGATACCTAATATAGATTGCTTATTTTATTATGTTTAGTTTTCCCCGGGTGGTCATGCAGCGATCAGTCAAGAGTTCACGACGCCGAAGTATGAACTGGGACAGTCATCGCAGTTTATATCCGTACTAGCTGTTGCCAGCGGCTTCAAACGCGTGAACTCGAAAATTATTCCACAGGAACGAAATACCTGAATAAACGGTATCAAATGTGTTATTCCAGACTAGGTATAACCTATCTCTGAGCTAAATATCATCCAGATCCCTTCAGCTGTTCTGGCATGATTGAGTAACATACATCTATCCATCCAAACTTTCGCATTTATAATATTTAGATAATAATTGTAATTAGTTCTGCCTGTTCAGCTGTACACATCATCGTTGGAGCCACACTCAAGTGTGAGTAACGATCCAAGAGCAAGTCTTATCCGACACTATTCCGATGATATCCCGGACGTCAGTCTGAGCGAGATTAGAATGGCTCTCCAACACCTTAAAAACGGCAAGGCCCCGGGCGAGGATGGAATTACAGCGGAGCTTCTGAAAACGGGTGGAACACCGGTACTTGAAGTCCTTCAGAAGCTCTTCAATTCCGTCCTCCATGGTGGCACTACTCCAGAGGCGTGGAGCAGAAGTGCGGTGGTCTTGTTCTTTAAGAAAGGCGACAACGCTCTCTTGAAGAACTACAGACCGATTTCCCTTCTGAGCCGCGTTTACGTGCTGTTTTCGAGAGTCATTACGAATCGTCTCGCAAGCAGACTCGACGACTTCCAGCCTCCCGAACAAGCCGGTTTCCGAAAAGGCTTCAGTACCATAGACCACATACATACCCTGCGGCAGATTGTACAGAAGACTGAAGAGTACAATTTGCCACTTTGCCTGGCGTATGTGGACTATGAGAAAGCCTTTGATTCCGTCGAAATTTGGGCGGTGCTGCAGTCCCTTCAGCGGTGCCAAGTTGACTGTCGGTATATCGAAGTGCTGAAGTGTTTGTACAGTAGGGCTACGATGACTATCCGAGTACAGAACCAGAGCTCGAAACCTATCCAACTGCAGAGAGGTGTAAGACAGGGTGACGTTATATCCCCGAAACTCTTCACCGCTGCTTTGGAAGACGTTTTCAAGCTACTGGACTGGAAAGGATACGGTATTAACATCAATGGCGAGTACATCACTCACCTTCGATTTTCCGACGATATAGTCCTTATGGCAGAATCGCTGGAGGACCTTAGCACTATGCTCAATGACCTCAATGGTGTCTCCCAACGGATAGGTCTTAAGATGAACATGGACAAAACAAAGATTATGTTCAATTTCCATGTCACACCTATGCCGGTAGTTGTGGGGA